TTCTACTGTGTTTAGCATTTTGATACCCACGTATAGGTTGCCGGTCTCTGAACGTGGGGGCTGGGTAGGTATACTTACGGGTAGCTTACCAGGCTCTCCCAGAGTGGACATGGAGCTTATTTGTTGGAGGCGACTCCTAACCGCCTCCCATATATTTCCCAGTGACTTGATTGCAGGCTTTTGGCCTAATTGACTCGTAGAATACAATCCGCATAAGCGAGAACGCACCCACACACGCATGCATGAATACGCCTAGTAAATACAGAAAGTATGTACCGAATCAGCGCAGCAGAAGCAGGGAGTCCATCCCCTGGATCCACCTGCGTCTCAGGGAAGCAAAGGTCGCTTTTGGTCTGCCATTAACTCCCTATCTGCTACCTTGGGACGCGCCACGTAGCCTCGCGACTAACCGGCTCGAGATCCCTCATATGAGGGAGATCCATGGGATAATTTCATATTTCGGAAAAGCCTTTTCTTTTTTGACCGTTACAAGAGCATTCCGATTTCTACCGTGGACATGTTGTGCAGAGAAGGCAGTGAAGAAGTTCAGTGCAAAATGATTGCACTTGGAAATGACAAAGAGACACCAGATTTATTTGAGGATGTAATAGATCATCATATGATCTGTGTTGTCCCGAATGCAGCCGCGATTTTCGCTTCTCTCGAGGATTGAACATTTGTGGAAGAGACATATTGCTTGCAGGACCCCAGCCAGAGTCTAACGATTTTCATCTTAACATCATTCTCCGATTCCTGGCCTTCCTACTCTGTATCAATGTTCAGTGGCCTTTTATAGCCTGACATTGATGCCTTCAACAGTGAATTTGCAGGATATTTAATTGCACATCACTTCCAGATATAACAGAACTTGTCTAATTCCTTGTAATGAAATGCAGATTGTAATATGACAGTTGATAAAATAATGCTATTCTGCTTTCTACGAGGAACTCGAAGAAAAAGAACGGCTGAACGCAAATCTTTGGAACGACATGGTAGATAGGACATAGGTGTACGACAAAGGCTACGTTGTTGACGTTCCATGACAAGATCTTTTCTTCACAGAGTCTCATTTAAATGTCGTACGTCGGTCTTTTTTCGTTTCGTTTCCCGTTTGGTGACCACGTTAAGTTTGGTGCGGTGTGGTGCCTCTGGAAGAGCATCAGGAGTGTCAACATCATCGTTTGAAAGTGGCGTTGTAGTGTTCTAGGTGCAGAGCAGGAAATATTCTATATGGCGTGTTGTGGACAAGTTTTTTCTTCGTCCAATTCAAGTAACATTTTGTGGAAATTAAGATTTCATCACAATAATACCAAGATCTTTGCAAAACTCCGGACCGCAGGTGTCTGCGGTGGGGATCGAACTTGTTATTATCCTTTCCGGGGGCGTGATTGTGATTTCGACTACAGCCTCACCTTAACCGGGTTCAATGCCGATTTGTGCCTCCAGATCAATCCCGTTGGCGGATGATTGCTCATGGCGCCGTTAGGCAAAAACTAGGTGGGACAAAGGCAAAACGAAAGACCCGCGTGGTGTGGTGGTGAATGCGTTAGTGCCCGAAAAGAGTAATACCAGGTTCGTTTCGTACAGCAGACTCCTGCGGTCCAGAGTTTTGCAAATATCTAAGCATCATTGTGGTTGCATTTCACATAATACCTTGCCGTGAAAAAAATACAGTAAACAGTAAATAAAAAGGTTAATATTGTAATTTTGACTACGGCCCCAGCTTAGCTGCGCTCAATGCCGATTTGTGCTCACCAGGTCAATCCCGTTAACGGGTGATTGCTGATGGCGCCGTTGGGTAGGAAGACAGCTGAGAGAAACGCGAAGCGAACGACCCGCATTGTGTGGTGATGGATGCATTATCTGGCGGAAAGGGTAATAAAGTGTTAGATCCCCACCGCAGACACCTGCGGTCCGAAGTTTTACAAATATGTCAGAATCATTGTGGTTGTATTTCACATAATACCTTACTTGATACGTGATACTTGAACGGCCCGTCCTCACTAGTTATGCGGGCCCCAGCATAATCACCATTTTTCGGAGATTTGCTGGTTAAGTTATTGTGGTTCCCTGTAATCTCGAGGACGTCCTGGCCAAAGTCTGCCCCAGGTCGTCACCACGACAGGTTCAACACCACCACAAGCAGTTGCAGCTGTTGTAGATCAGAGGAAGATTTGCCACTATGCGACTAGTTTGAGACCAGGACCGTGGTGGAATCTGGTACTCTTAGCTTGGCTTCCTGATGGAAACGTCGGACTCCTTCTCAGCTTGGGATACCCCGCCGTGGAGACGAATCCCCCCTTAGTACGTCGCAGTCCGACACCCAGGAACACCTCCCAGCCACAATGAGGCGGTAAACCGTTGGGAGGACATCACACAATACCGTGCCCTGAAAATTGGATTGGGCAGCAAATAAAAAGTTGATGTAGATAACTGTGTTCATTGAACTACCTAAATGTGGAGGAGACTCGTTGGTGGCACAGAAGCATTAGACACGGGTGAAATATAGCCATGGCGTACATCTGTGGTCATGTACACAATTGATATTTAGTCTGTTAAACAGAATTCCTGTTGTAGTCTAGCTGGATAATTTGTTTAGTGCTGAAAGCAGTTAAAAAATTAGTGGTAGAGTGTGATCCGGTCATTGGCAAGAAAGTAATGGATGAGATGCTCCACTACGTAAACAACTGTCACAACATTATGCTTCACTTGTAAACGCGTGGTGACAAGTTATCTACAAAAGTGTAAGCAGCATACGCCGACGGGATGAAAAGTGTCTTTTTAAATGCAGCACGGACATCTAGCATCAGGTCGAACACTGCAAAGAAATGCATGTTTTTCGCGACTATAGGCGAGTTGAGCATGTGATGACAGGACTCTATGACAATTGAACGATACGAATAGTTAGGTGGGTCATAAAATCACGCACGCGTTTTCAAGGGGTAACGGATGGACGAAGGTCAACCTCACAGCAGTTCCTGTCCTTTTAGTTCAGTACAAATGATTGATTGCACGGTTTACCGTACCACGAGGCAGATGTTGTCCGTATACTGTCGGAATGAAAGGGATGGAACGTGTGTTAATGTAGAGAACAGCAATTCAAATATCAAAGAAAGACCACGTTTTATCAACGTAAAGCAACAGTCTAACTACGCAGCAGCCTAACTATCAATGGAGCTTGACTAGAGTCGTTTACAGACGTAGTTCTTATAAGATCCTTAAGACAGCACTCTAAAAAATGGAGGATTCAAAGGAGAAGAACCTTTGACGGAGGCATCAGGTCATGTGATGAAGGGCGTATGTGAGTACTATGCATTTGCTCTGTCTGTGTAATTAATAATTTGATACTTGAATCTTCGCCTCATTATCGTGCAACGACAGAGATATCGTCTTCTATTTTAATTGATATTTTGATTCTTGATCGAGCGTAACATTTCCTGTGGATCCGAAATAGCCGTCCAAGGATATTATCAAGTTGTCATCGCAAGTATTTGCCAGCTTTCGTGAGTAGGAGAGAGAAGTTCCACCTGCAACTCAGAACTTTCTAGAAGGGCAGAGATTTCTGTGTAAGCAATGAGTTCTGCGATTCGACGACATACCGCTCCAGGACCGTGGAACAAGCCAAATCACCGTAGTTGATAGCTGTCATTATTTCATGTACAACCTTTAGTTACACTTGGTCAAAGACGTGCAACTCTGTGTTGTCCGAATGTTTGGTCAAATATGATGTTATTTGATTTCAAAATATCCAAAAATTCGTGTTGTTGGAAAAAGGTGATCCTTTTAGAGATCAACAACCACAAACGATATGTTGGTGACAACTTGAAAAACACATTCTACACATGTTGAGCTGGTTACCTAATTGGACGGCCCATCTTCACTGATTGTGCTGGTTCAAACATGGTGACGTCCACGAGTTCCATTCCGCAATCCTGAAAGCGTTGCCATCCATCTGCGAGTGCAGATAGTTGACGTTAGCCACAAGTACCTCCGGCCCTCGTTTTGGTGTTCGTCCGAAAGTACGTCCGCATTTTTTGGAGTCCTATCCACTGTTCTTTTCTCCCATTTCTCACCCATTCTTTCTAGTATATGACAGGCCCATCTATTCTTAGCTATCGGTTTGTGTTTTCCTGGACCTGTGGACTTCTGTTTCTGACTCTTGTCACTTGACTGCCCTTCTGCTACATAACTTTTCTTCATTTGAGATACAAAGTCAAGCATATAATCAAGCCTTATGCTTAAAGTAGAATAACGACTTGAATGCCATATTTTGGTATGTTTTCATAGTGAGTTCAAAAGTAAGGTCATAAAGTCTTTACACGTTGTTGTAGCTCGTTTATTTAAAATTTAATGCTTAGTGCCCGACACAGAATTGGTGCAGCTCTTCCACGGCATCGTACAATCCTGGCATTTCTCGCACACTACGTTGTATGGGCTTACAGACGATAACTATGTCGACGACACAACGTCTATTTCCTGGCGGAGAAACGGCGATCGGCGGCAGTGGGAAACGCAGCTGCTAGCAGGGGCCGAGAGAAACTGGGCGTGGAGGCGCCTCGTGAGAAGAACTCGGCCCAGCCCCGTGTCTTTGCTCTGCAGCAGTTAGTCCTGCGACACACCTGACCTCGAGGATGCAGTGATGTGTGTCACCTTCGTACGTTAGCCTCGTTATCATGATCGGTCAGCGCTGTTAGTTGGTATCAGTGTGCCATAGCCACTGCCGATAAGTGGACAATATGCTGTACACCTGGCTACTCCTCTCTTCACTTATCTCTCACTATTCATCCAGATGCAATATTAACTCCAACAATTGGTCTACTACTTCCATACATGACGTAAAAATTTACAACTGGTCAAATAGCACTTACAGAGTGCCGTACTATCCACCACTTGAAAAAATCTTAAATTTTGGGAACTTGACCACAGGATATGCTGGTCTGGTGTCATCGTCTAACGCATCTTCCGTTGGGAGCGTAGTATTTCGGAGATATTACTCCTCTATGGACGTTACGACGACGAAAAAAAGGAAACGGGCCGCCACTGCACGTAAGGAGCGCATCTGGCCCGATGGGATCATTCCCTATGTAATAGCTGCGAATTTTTCAGGTGAGGTCTAGAGTTCTATAAAAGAAAACAGATGCATATCTATCGCTTCAAGTGCTTATTACTGTATAGAATAGAACAGTAGTATAAATCGAACAGTTGATTTCTTTCAATTCCTTCCATATAGTTGTTTAAAGAAGTTCGCCAACTACTTCACATCCTCTCTGGTGTTACCGTTATCGAGCTTGTATAACTTTACATAAAGGTTAAACTGTCTGACATTATGTAAAATACAACTACGGGCCTCAGTAGTGCCGTGCATAACACGTGAACCTCTGGAGAGCGTAAACACCGTCCGATCTGGCTTGGGGTCCAAGTTTTGCAAATTTCTCAGCATCATTGTGGTTGTAACTCACATAATGCACTGCTATGAAAACATAGTGGACAGTAGATAAAAGTTATGCATTGCTTGGGATTAATCTATCCTTTACGGAAGTGCTATGCATTTTGCTCAATATGCAAGGGGCGACTGAGTGAATATTTTGCCTAGACAAGGACTTCGATGCCTCCTAATTTATAAAGTCCGTGCTTTTTATTCTTTCAGATAGGTCTGGTACCAATTTACCCAACCGGGCTAGGTACAGGGTTTTGTTTGGCTGTACGAGAGAACGAACCAACAACGATTTGTATATTGCAGCACACCTTTAACTTCTATGCTTCTTGCACTCCAATAACTTTCGATGTGTAGGATAATTATGTCATTCAAAGTGTATACTAAACATGACACAAATGTAGCCGTAAATGTCTTCTTCGAAAGTGGGAACACTCATTAAAGCGAATTAATTTGTAGCAGTAATTTACTAACAACTTTTTCATTTATTAACTTTGAAGGCAGTACTATATGAAGTCGGTAGACGAGCGGTTACTATTTCAGGTGATCACAAGAACTTGTTCAAGAGGGCGATGCGGCACTGGGAGAACTACACCTGTGTGTCGTTTGTGCCCAAACTCGATCATCACAGACACTACATAATGTTCACCATCGACAAGTGTGGGTAAGTCTGTTTTCCTCCAGGTACTTCTCTCTTTTTACATTTAAGGATACAGGATAAACCACTCGGCGATGATCAATGCTCAGAGGGATGCTCTACGCATTCGACTTCATTAAGCATCGTTTGGAGGTGACTGGAATGCAGATTTGGCCTTTGCAATAACTTGAGGTGGCTTACCGTTGTATCGAGCCAGTGGTGCTATGCTCCCAGACATGTCTGGTATTTATATACCGATCCCGGAGGGATGGAAGGCTCTGTTGGCCAGGAGCGTGGGGATCGATCCCATGTGAGTGTTGTAGGGCGCCTCCGACCCACTGCGCCACAAGCGCCCTTCTTTCTACATTTACTACAGTATATTTTAAATCAAGTGCTCGTCAGTGACACTTGAAGTGTGCTTTGCGTTTCAACCCATAGTGGAATTTATTGCAATCTGAACTGAGAATAAGGTTTTAAGAAAAAGAAGATTAGAAAGACAGTAAGTACAAGTCGCCTTGTTTTATGAAGATGAATATCAGATTCTCTGGAGCCCGTGGATCATCTTCGGGATCCATTCTTTTTGAAGCGGTATAAAGCTCGAATAGTGAAGCGAATAAGCAAACGGAACTTCGTCTATCATAACACGGTGCGTGTAGCGCAGTGACTAGAGGTGGTCTGCACTATGCATTGGATCTGTCCTGGTTCTGTTCCAAGTCCCGGCCTCATCGAGCCTTCCCTTTCTTGAAGGTCTGCATATTGATACCCAACTTGTCTGGGAGAATGACAGCACTGGCTCGATACATCGGTAGGTCATCGCAAGCATTCTATTACCTTCACGATGCTACGAATAGAGTCGAATGCATGGCGCATCCCTCATCGATTGATCATCACCAGGCGCTTTATCCTTTGCCCATTCAAGACGACATTTCCGAATGCGCCGTTGATGTTGGCAGTTGTACGCTTGAAAAATTTTAGTTTTTTATTGCACAAGTTTTTATTTATTTTGGGTTCAAAAGTGAAGGTGGGAATGTTTTATAGCGACAGCGCAGTCGTGGAAAATCCTGTTAGTTAGATTTGTCAAGTGTTGAAGTCGATTTTATCTACAGGGAAATTATCTGCAGTTGTCGCAAAACCGTTGTTGCCGTGAATGCGTTAAGTAAGCAATCTTTTAAGCTCCCTATTTCTCCCCAAGTCGTACATGATTTATGGCAGAAACCTATTAACATGCACTATTGATAGAATCCTCTCAACGGTTTACCTCCTCATCGTGGCTGGGAGGTGTTCCTGGGTGCCGGGATGCAATTTACAGTGGGGGATTCATCCTCCGGCAGGGTCTCCCAAGCTGAGGAGTCCGGCGTTTCCACCAGAAAACCCAGCTAAGAGTAAACCAATACCAGGATCCACCACCGTCTTGATATCAAACTAGTCGCTTGGTGGCAAATCTCCTTCTGATCCACAAAGGCGGCGACTGCTTGTGGTGGTGACGACCTTGAGCAGTCTTTCGCCAGGTTATCCTCGGGACACTAGAGAACCACATTAGCTAAATCATCAATACTCCAAAAAAGTGGAAATTTCCCTGGGGCCCGCACAGCCAGTGAGGACGGGCCATCGAAGTATCCAAGTAAGTGCTGATTGAATAGATCAAGGAAAAGAGGATGAGGAGAGGTCTGCGTGTCTTCGTGCAACTACGGAATTGCTATGGGCCGTTGATGTTGGAACGTTCTAAGACGACGTCGGCACTGTTTCTTTTTCTTGCGCCAGTTTTAAAAATCGCTCTACTTTGGAGGATTTAACTTGTATTTACTTTCCTGGAATCGGTATTCGTTGCTACACATTCGAAATCTAAATAGGGTATTATATTCTACGTAATCTATTTCTAAACCTGTGACCCTTGTTTGATTCGCACCACCTCGGGAGTACTACTTGAACAACCAAGTAACTCCATTATGCCATGTTTTCTAGACTGACAGAGAACTAAAGACGATGTAAGTCAGAGTCAACGATTTTGTTACTCGAGAAACTGATCAGTTACCGAAATCAGTGTTGTTCAAAGCCGGTTCTGCGATTTAGTAGTAAGCTTTTTTCAGATGTTGTTCTTATGTAGGACGTCGGGAAGACGGTCCTCAGGCCATATCGATAGGAAAGAATTGCGACAAGTTCGGCATTGTGGTCCACGAACTCGGGCATGTGATAGGGTTCTGGCATGAGCATACTAGACCGGATCGTGACCATTATGTCGACATATTCTACAAAAGTATTCAGCCTGGTGGGTTTATTGGTTTCAAAATTTTGCCTTGTAGCCTTTTCTTTCTGTGCTTTCTATTTCTATATGGCACTGAACATGGGCGCGTGTGGCGCAGTGGTCGGAGGAGCTCTGCATTAACATGGGATCGATTCCCGTTCTCCTGGCCCAGCAAGTCTTCCATCTCTCCGAGATCGGCAAATTGGTACCACACTTGTCTGGGAGGATGCCAGTATTGCCTCGATGGACCAGTAGGCCACCACGGGTCATTGTAAAGGCCTGATGTGCATTCAATCACCTCCATACGATGCTTAATGAAGTCGATTGCATGGAACACCTTTAAGGGATTGATCAACGCCGAGTGCTTTATCTTTTAGTTTTATGGCATTGAACGTACTTTGTATACTACTTATACATAGGGGTGTGCTATTTATACTATTCTCTTCAGTAGTTTATAGTATTCTATGACATATGCGGCATTAAACACATAGGACAGGATTACAATTTCGAGAAATCGAAACCGGAAGAGGTCGATTCACTTGGTGAGCCTTACGACTTCAATTCCATTATGCACTACGCTCGTGACACATTCTCTCGTGGTACTTTCCATGACACGATCCTACCAAAGCCCAGCTCAGGTACTGTGTCTCTGTGGTTGGACTTAAAACAAATTTAAATAAGCTTGTTTAGGGTTTCGATCCGAGATTGGTCAGCGTGTGCATTTGAGCGACGGTGACATTCGTCAAGCGAAGAAACTATACAAATGTTCAGGTATTTTTCTCAAATAAGGTTTTGCCTGCGCTTATTGGTATTTACGGGTGGAAAATTGTGCCTTTGTTTTGCACTTCCTTTTCCAAATCTTCGATCTTATGGGTTGTTTTATGTCACACATTTAAGACCACGCCAGATTTTCAGTGATAGCCTCACAGGATCACTGATAGTTTTTTGGCGTGCGTGGTACGCATTGAATTCAACAGACGCGATTATTGAGCACTCATACCTCCAAAGAAGACGTCAAGTACTTCTTCCTTGTTAGGGGCCTTTATGTTACCAAACCATTACGGTGGAACCTTCGCGGTCTCAGGTTTTTGAATCTGTATATTAGAGGTACCTTTATACAGTCCTCACTACAAGAAGTCCTTTGATAGGATTAATACAATGGATTAATACAATTGACGACCTTGGGCAGACTTTGGCCAAGCTGTTCTTGGGATTCCAGGAACCACAATCGCTTAACCAGCAAATCTTCGAAAAATGGTGATTATGCTGGGGCCTGCACAACTAGTGATGACAGGCTGTTGAAGTATCAAGTATAAAGTAGTACAATCGTTTAGAAAACGCTTATTTGCAGGTAGAATATACCGTTTCGTAGATTACTTTCTGCACATCATCTTTAGGAGGGAAGCGATCGATTTGAAAACCTGAAAGAAAACGCATTGAATTAAGTGCAATCGGTACTGAAAGCGTTAAATAACATTGTAGCCACAATGATGCTGAGATATTTGTAAATCTTGGAGTCCAGAGTCTCGCGTATTACACACTGCCCCACTGTGGCCCTTGCTTTGCGTTTCTTGAGAACATAGCATTTTGAAGTTTTCTTCATTTCAGTTTAATAGTGCACGTTATTACTTCTTCAGTTTATCTTTAGAATGTGGAAGCACCCTTCTTTTCGAGACTGCCGAACTAATAACATCAAGCTCTGGTAGGTGCGTTTGGCATATCGTGGCTCCTGAAGGTCAAACGGTGTCTCTAAACATCACCGGTCAGTTGTTGATGAATATCCTTCATAAAATATCTTTGTGATAAGATGACAAACTAAGAAGCTTTTAAGAAGTGTTACGCCTTTCCTAACCGCATGTTTTACGCAGTTCTGTCGAAATGCTGTTCAGTGTTTTTAATTGGAATGCTTACAATAGTGCAGGCATGAAAACTGCTGTTACACCATTCCACTATATTTAGAAATTTTAAGGTGCTTTCCTGATTTTTCCTTCTAATGGGTGTCTAGAAGAGACGAGCGACACAATTATCGTTAGAGATGGTTATTCAGCGAAGGCACCATTGCTAGGTTCATTTTCTTCTACATTGTTTTCAGTTATCTAACTAATCGTAGTCGTGCATTTCAGCCAGTCTCGCAGCCCATATTTCACATTGCAGACAAGATTTGTGGTGACGAGATCGGTTACCGAACTATTACATCATCTGGTAGTCGACTGTATGTTGAACTTCATTCCATTTCACCCCCACCACTTTCTATTGGGAAATATTTCTCAATGTGCGGTGGTCTAATTTTTGCAGATCATGGTGTAATTCAGGTATGTTCTACATTGGTATAGTTGTTGTTTTTGTTGGTCGGTGGCTGAGGTTCCGGCGGTTTCCTCTTCCTCAGAGTCTGGACATATTTTAAACCGCAGTAGCTTAATAGCTCGGTGGAAATAATCATAGTATTAATGAAGATCTAACATATAAATGGACGCCATATTGATTAAAAAGACTACTCACAGTGCTGTTACGAGTGGGACTGTTCGCGTGTTCTTCATGTGGGATGACGAGCGAGATTTGCCTATGGTCAAATTATGGTTTTGAATTTTTTTCCAAAATGATTTTTTGACTTAGGTGGTTCTTGCTCGTCATCCTACGTGAAGAACACGCCGACAGTCTCACTCATAACAGCACAGTGAGTAGTTGCGGAATATAACTCGTATAATGCTAAGATATTTGCAAAACTCCGGACCGCAGGTGTCTGCGGTGGAGAACGAACGCGCTATTGTCCTTTCCGGGGAGTAACGCGTTCACCACCACACCATGCGGGTCCTTCGTTTCGCCTGTCTCTCAGCTAGTTCTATCGATCTTTTGCCATCAACAATCACCTGTCAATGGGTTGATCTGGGGAGCCCAAATCGGCATTGAACCCAGTTAAGCTGAGGCTATGGTTATAATAAGATTACAACTATAGTATAATTATAGCTATATAATTATTATAAAATTATATTATAATATTATACCTTTTTATTTTCTGCCTATTATGATTTCGCGGCAGGGTACTCAGCGAAATACAACCACAACGTTGCTGAGATATTTGCAAAACTCTGGACCGCAGGTGTCTATGGTGGGGAACCAACATTGTGATTTCAACTACAGCCGCAGCTTAACTGGGTTCTGTGCCGATTTGGGCGCCCCAGATCAATCCCGCTGACGGGTGATTGCTGTGGCAAAGATCAATAGAAATAGCTGAGAGACAGGTGAAACGAAGGACCCGTATGGTGTGCTGGTGAACGCGTTACTCCCCGGAAAGGACAATAGCGCGTTCGTTCCCCACCATAGACACCTGCGGTTGAGAGTTCCGCAAATATCTCAGCAACGTTGTGGTTATATTACAATAGTTATAATAATTATAACTATAAATGTAAAATTATATTATAATAGTTATAATGAGATTGTAACTATAGTATGATTATAGCTATATAATTATTATAAAATTATATTACAATATGTATTCTTTCTTTGATGAGCTTACACGAGGTTGATAATGATGTTTATTTTCGGCTAACGTTTCGACGTTTTCGTCATCCTCAGAGCCGATAATCGGAGTCGATGGTCCTCGCTTGCTATTCGCATCGACGTGGCAGCTTCGCCTTCGAGTCGAGTTAGGTCTTCTTCAGTGAGCCATTTCCTCGAACGAGGCATCCTAACTCAGTGATGCCCTTTTATACACGATGCTGATGGTTGATATAATGATAATGTCCGGTGACAACAACTTGTTTTTCTTCCGGACATACATCATTGCGCACATCGTGCAGAAGTCGGTGTTGTTATCAGCTAGCACAAAGCGTAGTAATATTTAGAAACCGACTTTCACACGATGTACGCAATGATATATATATCTTTCTACTTCTGTTCAGCAAGCACGAGGTGCTATTTTATTTCTTTATTTACGCACAAGCTGACGTTTCGGCGGATTTCGCCTTCCTCAGAGCCGCTTTCTATGAGTCTTCCACTGAGTATGTCGCGTGAAGACCGACCGCACAGAATTCACATGGAAGCGTAATGAATTTAATAATTTATATTTAATAATTTATAATTAATAAAAATAATTAATATTATTATTATTATATTAATATTAATTAATATTATTATTAATATTATATTATTAACATTATTAATAATAATAATTTTTAATAATTTAATAATTTATATAATAATTTCATTACGCTTCCATGTGAGTTCTGTGCGGTCGGTCTTCACGCGACATACTCAGTGGAAGACTCATAGAAAGCGGCTCTGAAGAAGGCGAAATCCGCCGAAACGTCAGCTTGTGCGTAAATAAAGAAATAAAATAGCACTTCGTGCTTGCTGAACAGAAGTAGAAAGATATATTCAATCAATGCCGAGGTTTATAGAAAGTCGGACTTGGGAGTTACTGCAATGATGTATGTCCGGAAGAAAAACAAGTTGTTATCACCGGACATTATCATTATATCGACCATCAGCATAGTGTATAAAAGGGCATCACTGAGTAAGGATGCCTCGTTCGAGGAGATGGCTCACTGAAGAAGACCTGACTCGACACGAAGGCGAAGCTGCCACGTCGAGGCGAATAGCAAGCGAGAACCATCGACTCGGATCATCGGCTCTGAGGAAGACGAAGACGTCGAAACGTTAGCCGAAAATAAACATCATTATCAACCTCGTGTAAGCTCATCAAAGAAAGAATACATATTGATTAGTGATACCGTGGTTCATGGAAAGTCGGTTTCGAAATATTATATTACAATATATCTTTCTACATCTGTTCAGGAAACACGAGGTGCTATTTTATTTCTTTATTTACGCACAAGCTGACGTTTCGGCGGATTTCGCCTTCCTCAGAGCCTGGAAGGGTCAAATTGACAGCAATCCATTCGGCCAAACACCTCCATGACCAAATCGAGAAAATGCTAAACCAAGATTTCATTCACATTTAGCATAGCTCTGCGCACTCACCGCTTTCTATGAGTCTTCCACTGAGTATGTCGTGTGAAGACCAACCGCGCAGAATTCACATGGAAGCGTAATGTGCCCCTCCGATCAGAATAACAGGCTTATATACTGTCCAATATCACGCGTGATAACGAGGCATTCGGTCTTCGACTAAATCTCACAAAAACGATGTTCATAAGGAACGGATTGGTTTCGTATGCCCCATTCACGCTCAACGGAACGAATATCTCCGAATGCTCCAATTATGTTTGTCTAGGTCAGGAAATCAATATAAATCAATATATTACAGTAGTTATAATAGTTATAACTATAGCCTCAGTTTAACTGGGTTCAATATCGATTTGGGTTTCCCAGATCAGTCCCGTTGACAGGTGATTGTGAAGGCAAAAGATCGATAGATCTAGCTGAGAGGCGAAACGAAGGACCCGCATGGCATGCGTGGTGGCGAACGCATTACTCCCCGGAAAGGACATGGCGCGTTCGTTCACCAGCGCAGACACCTGCGGTCCGGAGTTTTGCAAATATCTTAGCATTATACGAGTTACATTTCGTAGCATATCCTACCATTAAAAAGAATAGGTATTAAATAAAAAGGTTAAGACAGTGAGTAGTCTTTTTGGTCAGTATTGCGTTCATTTGTATGTTAGATCTTCATTAATATGTTCTACATTGTTCCTTTTTATATTATGTATTGGGAAGTCAGCTTCTCATGGATATCATTTTGCCTCTTGGTTTAATTTTCATAGCTTCACTTATTTATTCTCAGCGCTAGCTTCTGTAACTTTGTAGAGAAATTTTTTCTATTTTTCGCTAACTGCGAGGATTTAATAAGAAAGTGTTCTTATTAGAGTCCCAGGTATCCTGACGCTTATCCGTCAAATTCCGATTGTTTGTGGACAGTACACGTCTCAGAGGGCTATCAAGTTGCCGTTGAAGTTGTCTATTTTCATGTGGGTTTCAAACCATACTAGTTTGCAGCACAAGTCCTAGTCATATTGTGCAAGCCACAATTGGATGACAACCACTTCAGCTTGAGCAGCACAAGGAATGCGTTTACGATCGTGTAGTGTTCTGGGAATCTTCCGAAGTAGAATCTCCTTTGATCACTCTGTGTGGTGTTGTTACGAATAGACAAATTGTAACAAGGAAAAGTAATCAAATGGTTATTAGGTAGGGCTTTTTCCAGCTCTCTCTCCTTTCTGCGCAATTACTAGTTCTTTGAATTCCAAATGTGTTATGTGATTTTAGTTATTTTTCACCTAGCTATCGAAAAAAGTTTTTAATTACTATCATGGGTTTGCAATATAGTTGTCCGAAATTTGACTCGTGTGAAATGCTGAGATATTTGCAAAACTCCGGACCACAGGTGTATGCAGTAGGGAACGAACACGCGCTGTTGTCCTTACCGGGTAGCAGCGCACTTCACCACTACACCATCCATCCGGATTTCATACGAGTTATATTTCTCAACATACCCTGTCATTAAGAAGAAAAAGGCAGTAAATAAAAGAGTCAAAATTTGACTATTCACTTTTAAAATGTATTATTTAGTACTCAACATTTTAGATTTTTTTCTGACAATTCCGTGCAGAAATCTGGTTTCGAATTGGAGTTTGTAAGAGAATTAGATGAATGTGCCACCGGATTGCAAGTTTGTGAGCATCGTTGTGTGAATACAGTTGGAAGCTTTCGATGCGATTGCCACATAGGATACAGCCTTCGCCCGGATGGGCGAACATGTGAAAGTGGGTTTTTATTCAGTAATCAACCATTATTACATCTACAGTTTTGAAATTGTTCTCTTCCTATATACAATCAGTGAGATATTGTTGAATTCTTCAGTCTTATAATTTTATTAAGCTGGTTTATAAGTGAAAAATGTTTGGTAATCACTTTGGGGCTTTGATTACTCCGTTCTGATGTTTTCATTTGGGTTATATGCAAAAGATAGTCCATACAGATGGGTTATTGTGATCTAGTGAGAAATCCCTCCACTATATCTGGATAATGCGCATTTCTTTCATGGAAGGATCACTTGCTGGTTAGTTGCGAGGCAAGATAGGCACTCACAGGTGGCGGAAAGCAGTTAATCGCGGGTCAAAAGCAACCTTATGTTTCCCTAAAACCCATTTGGATCCGTGGTATGGACTGTGTGTTTTTGTTGCGCTAATTTGGCACGTATCTTTGTTTGCGTGGACGTAATTATGCATAGCGATGTTGTTGTGTTCCTGTTTATGCGGATTGTATTCTACCAGTCAATTCAGCCGAAAGTCTGCAATAAAGTGACTGGGAAGTATATGGACGAGTCGTCTCCGGCATATAAGCTCCCCATTTGCTCTGGTAGAGACTGGCAAGCTACTCGTAACTATACCTTGCCCCACGTTCAGAGGTCAGCAAGCTATACGTGGTTATCAAACGATAAACACAGTGATGTATGTGGCCCGTAATCCCTTGACTCCGAATGAGCTCCCGATATAGCAGCGTTAGGATGGACGAGTATGGAGCGATTGCTATTTCAAGGTCACTTTAAAGTGTAAAAAATAAAGCTGTCGGCGTTGATAGATCCCTGAGGGATGCGTTATGCAATCAACTTCAGCAAGCGTCGTTAAAGGTGTTGGGACGCATATCTGGCCTACATAATGACCTACCGCTGTATCGAGCCAGTGTTGTTATCCTCTAAGAGAGAGGTCAGACACACATTTGCTGAACCCGGAGGTATCGAAGGCTCGGTAAGCCTGAGGCGAGGGATTGGTCCCATGTGCATATCAGGGCGCCTTTAATCACTGCGCTACACGCAAGAATGGAGAGAAATTCAAACTGCTCAAATTTCGAAGGACTAAAGTGACGATTTATATATGTGTTTCACGCTCACTTGCATCTGAGTCGTTCATAGAGGAACTGGTCATGCAGGCAAGAATGATATGTTACGACGTCATCGGACTGGATGAAATGTGAAGATCTGAAGAATCCTAATAAGATGAACTTTCCTCTAGTCCAGTTGATGAGGATCAACACAGTGGCTCGGCTGTTTACAGATTACTTGTCAGAATGAAAGGTCCCCACTTAATGGAAGACCAGCAAGACCGTGCTATTTTTCAAGAAAGGTGACCTCCACAATATCGGCAACTATGGCCCAATCTGCTGTCGTTTGTGAACTTTTCACTCTATTCATCTTAAACAAGAGAGACAGAACACTGGACGAGGAACAGCCATATGAGAAAGTAGGATTTCGAAAAGGATTTGGTGTATAAAAAACATTCACACAATAACCGGTCTCACGGAGGTATTGCGAGAGCAAAAGAGACCTCTCTGTCTCACTTTTATCGATTTAAGGAAGGTCTTTGCCTCAGTTGAGATAGAAGTAGTCGTGGAAACACTGGGTAGCCAGGGAGTCCCTACTCAACATGCAAAGATTCTTCGTGAGTTGTATAAAAATTTCATGACCACCTTTTACTATTCTGCGAAAATATTAACATCGATGTCAAAAGAGGGGTTTGGAAAGGTGATACGCTCTTGCCAAAATCATTTACCGCAACCCTCGAGAACATCATGCGAACATTGGAATGGGACAACATGGGAGTGAAAAGTGGTGATCGGCAGTTATACCATCTTCGCTTTGCTGAAGACTTCGTTCTTATAACACCAACCATTAACCATGCAGAACGAACGCTTGCCGACTTTGATAACGCCTCTGGAAGGATCGGTCTTCGACTAAGTCTCACAAAAACGATGTTCGTGAGGAATGAATCTGTTACACACGCCCTATTCATGCTCAACGGGACGGTTGTCTCTGACTGCTCCAGTTACGTTTATCTGGGTCGAAAAATAAACATGATGAACAACTTAGTTCCAGAATTGAGCAAGAGGAAATAAGCGGCTTAGAGAGCATTCTAGAGCATCGAGGATGTGGTGAAGAAAACAAAAAACACCCGACTCCATGCTAACCTTTTCGACTCTGCATTTCGTCCTACCTTAAGTTATTCGTCGGAAACCTGGTGGCTGTGTAAGTAGGATATAAGATCATTAAGCGTTCTTTAATGCGCCGCCGAAAGGATACTGATAGGAGTATCCCGTACTACGGACACTAGAGAGAGAGAGGAACACAGGTCAGCGATCCAAAATCAAAGCTGCCATTCTTCACACCAAATTGTCGACAGTAGTATGGGCCCGACCATGCGTGTAGTGACTGAATTTCTCGGTATGTGAGATGCACAGCAGTATGATCGCTAACTAGATGGTCAGGGTTCTCCACGAAAACCCTCGAAGGAAGGTGTAATGCTCAGTGAGTCGCTAGAACGGGCTGAAACAATTGGGTTGCCCTTGCACGAGACAGGTGGAAGGGAAGGTTTTCTTGCGCTAGCTCGTGTGTGATTTGTGATTTGACGATCAGCAGAACTACAGGTGATATTGGGTTCATTGTGAGAGAATTTTTGTTAGCGAATTAGGAGGGAAGTTTATTACTTTACGACCTTAATTCTTCTAAGCCCAAGACAAGAGTGGTTTCTGTGGCGACGATTTCTGCGGATTGTCGACCTTTCTCTTGAAGATGACGTAAAGAGGCTATAGTACAAAGATTTTTCTAAAATGTTAGTTAAATTTTAAATTCTTACAGTTTTCATACTTCAGTGAGGGTAGTCTACTAGTAGAAGTGTTGTTCAGTAATGCGCGCAAAGCTTTGATTCAACACCCCACAAGACCTAGCAACCTTCCCATCGCTCCTCGGCAAGTTTGTACCAAACTAGTCTGTGAAGTTCATCTCTGCTAAAACAAACATAGCCATACCGCAATTCCAAGCAAAACCCACTCAGTCGGCATTCAGCGTGGTCCATAAAGGGGACCAAAATTTGCATGTAGCAGGCAACCTACACTCAAATCTGAAGACTTTCTTGCATGGTAGGTGTAAGGAAATCGATTAAATGAAGAACTTTTTGGGATCTTCACTTGGGATATGTGAAATTCGAATTTTCAAGGAAAGAAGGTCTGTTTAAACTCTTAAAATCATTAGCGCAAACGTTGTCGCTGAAAATGTTATTGTTGCACAGTAGGGTACTATCGTGTCCTTTTGTATGAACTTAATCCTTTTACCCTATAAAATGCGAGTTTCGGTCGGAAATAAAAGAGTTGCGGTAAAATTTGGTTCTTGTTGACACTGATTAGGGGTTTCTACTTGTTTGTCTTTTTTTTTTTTAACAAATAAAGCTCATTACGGGATGAGGTATGTGTTTGTTCAAGAAGGCACAATTATTCTTGGTTGTGCATTAAAGACAGTGGATGTCATCGTAACTTTTTAAATGTCATATTATTCACTGTTATCAATGTACTTATTAGCGGTGTTCTCCATTATTGTTCTTTCCTTTCCACAGTTCCCCGCAAACAATTTAAGCAATTCCTTCAGGCACATGTGGAGGCTTTCTACAGACCTCTTCTGGTTCATTTTCCTCTCCTAATTACCCACAGCACTATCCATCGTCAAAGGAATGTGTTTGGGAAATCGAAGCTGAAGATGGATATCAGATTTTTCTGAATTTCACTACATTCAATATTGAGGTGTTACTTCTCAGCGTTCGTTTGTGTATAAAAATTTTCTATTTGTTTCTGGATCGACGCCGGTTTCTTTTTGCTACGGAAGTGAAACATTTTCAGGGAATGAAAACTGAATGTTCGTATGATTATGTGAAGATCGGTGAAAGCGAAAGGATGTGTGGAGAGTACGGTATAAGATTTTACTTTCCTGATGAAATATTGTAACAGTTTTTCCGCAAAATATAGTGAACCATTAATTCAGAATCACTTGAATAAAAAATAGTAGTTTTTGATTACCCAACATATGGGTCAGTTGTGAAATCTACATAGGTTCGATTGGAATATTTACACATATGTATTATGTGTATTCATTGAATTACATATGTATTACTAAATTATGCATGGTTGCGGCCACTGTTCTCTTGATTTCATAGTTAAAGGAGTTGCCTTTACTTTAAAAATTGACTTCTACTTAAGCAGTTCATGAACAATCAATATTTTTGTATTGTTAAGCTAGCACGAGGTTGTTACAAAAGTTTTGTTGGCTAACTTATCACTTTCCTTAGTAAGTAATCTACTCAAGTACATTCACCTGATAATGCCGTATACTCTTTCACGTTAAGAAAATTGTGTCGTTCGCTTAGTTTAGTATTACTAAAATCTTTCAGCTGAACCACTGCTTTTCACCTCGACTTCCAATCGTGTAAGAGTAGAGTTTGTATCCGATTCATCTGTGGAAAGAACTGGCTTTTTGGCTAACTTCATTGCCGATCTGGACGAGTGCCAAACAGATAACGCTGGATGCGAACATATTTGTCAAAATAGGCTTGGTTAGCTTTATGATGTAGTGCACAAGAGCGTTTTTATTTTAATTTAATATTAAAGGTTCCTATTTATGTCTATGTCACATTGGTTACATTCTTGCTGATGATGGTCACAATTGCAAGGAGGGAGGATGTTTCTTCGAGCTCAATTCACCGAGCGGTAGAGTTTCCCTCGGGCTCCGTTTTTTGTACTTTGATCTAGAACAGGTTTCTGTTTCTTTCAGGCAAGGTGTCGACTCCTAATTATCCAAACAGTTATCCGATAAATCAAAACTGCACGTGGCATTTTATAACCACACCAGGTCATCGATTAATGCTTGTGCGTGGTAATACTTCTAAATCCTAAAAGGTTGTACTTGTCTCTGTTTGTTTTTGAGGAGGGTAGCGCCGTAGTAGTAATGCCATCATCACAAGCATGGTGCTGGTTCGGCCACACCACGGGCCCACTAAGCCTCTCATCCTTCCGGAGTCAGGGAGTTGTTAATAGATTTGTCTGGACTCAGCTCAGTTCACACAGGAGCTCTCTCACACGGCTATACTAGGATTCCAGGGAAAATCGGCTAGTCCAGCATTCAACAATATTCATAAGGAAGGCTAAAATCCTCAGGCAGCCACCGAATCCGCGGTGAATATGAAGTTCTTCGTGGATGATGGATGCGAGGAAAGGAATCATATGGAAAAAGTGCCGAGATCTACACAGTAGATGTGAGGATGGGTCATGTAAGAATAGGGAGATTTGCTTGTGTCAGAGACCGAATTTCCTTTAGCTTATGTGTGATTAATCAACATGCGTTCTTTAATTGATAAACTAACACGAGTGTGATGAAGAAGCTTGTCCGGTTGACGTCTTCGCCTTCCTCAGAGCCGGAGCGGCCCGAGTCGCCTGTCCGCAGTTCTTCTTTCTTCCGATGTGGAAATTCCTGTGCGGTGCTCCACTGGATTCGACTTGATGCAATGACGAAGACCCACATGGTAAGAAGGAAGAATTGTGGACAATGGACTTGGGTCAATTTAGGTTTGAGGAAGGCGAAGACAACCGAATAAACTTTTTCATTAAGCTCGTGTTAGCCTACCAATGGAAGATTAAATGTTGCTTTCATGTGCTTGCCATCTATTCTTGGTTAAACCAGCATAATTTAGATTGATAAAGGGAGGGATATATGTTTACGGTGACACAGTTCAATAGGCTCGAGATGTTGGGAGGCGGGTGCTAGAGCGAAAGCAGTATGTGAAAAGAAAAAAAGGAAGTGGTAGGAGGAAATAGGAAGAAACAGGAGGGAGAGAAACAGGCCGATAGAACTAGATCAAAGCAAAGTGTTTGTGAAAAAGAGAGGCTACGAAAAAGAGGTTTTGGTTAGACGTTAAATTAATCAGTGGCCGCATGACAAGCCTGCTTCGATCGCAGCGTCATGTATTCTAGACCCAAATGATTTCTAACTAAACGTAATAGGTATTGATTTATTTGTTTAAAGACTAGTTTGTCGTGATTAGAATTTATCTTTATCCTTTCCATCTTTATCCGTTTTCAGTCCTTTTCATCTTTTCAAATAGAGGAACACTCGCAATGTAAATATGATTCGGTATCTATCTTCGATGGTGGCGATTCCAATGCATCACCTATCGGTAGATTTTACCCACTTTTTTTGACATGTTTCGGGTTCTGATTTTCCGTCATATATTTGTTTCATGTATTTTTTGTGGCGTGGTACCACCTCCAATGTTCATGTCTTCCACAAATCAACTGTTTCTTTCGTTTGCGTCAGATGCCTCAGTGTCTCGTCAAGGATTTGAGGCGAGTTATTCTTCAGGTATGTTAGTGAATAAATTTGCTTTTATTGACTACTTGAAATTACTGACTCACTTTTAGTATGCGGAGGCCGTTTGGTAGCCGAATCTGCTCATGGTCATATTTATTCACATGCCACGTATAGCGACAGCAAATATGGGAAAAGTCAAGTGTGTTGAACGAATGGCTCTGTTTAACACCTAACGCTTAATGCTCAATTTTACGTGCCTGCTGGGGTAGGAAGGCGCATAGTTTATCACCGATTATATACTTGGTGCAAATAGTCCATCTTTCAAATATCGCTACCGGCCTGTAATGAACGTTGCTGGTTTTTCGATAATAGACGGTATCTTATGGACCAATGGAAGTTCTAAGGACAGGAATCACTTTACAAAGTGGAGCGCCCAAATTCTTCCCCAGGGATTGTTTCTTTCCTATCAACACTTTGAAGATTAATTCTTCGTATTTTTGTTGAGCAAACGCGAGGTGTTATCATTATTTATTCGCGAATAAGCTGACGTTTCGGCGGATTTCGCCTTCCTCAGAGCCTGGAAAGATCAAGGTGATAGCAATCTACTCGGCCAGACACCTCCATAACCAAACAAAGAAACTCTAAACCAAGATTTCAATCACATTGAACACAGTTTTGCACACTCACCGCTTTCTATGAGGTATCCACTAAGTATGTCGTGTGAAGACCAACCGCAGAGAATTCACATGGAAGCGTAATGTGCCCCTCCCATCAGAATAACAGGCTTATATACTGTCCAATATCACGCGTGGTAACGAGGCATTCTTGGCTGCGGTTCATTTTCGGATTTCTGGAATTAATCCAGAATGCCTCGAGAGTTTTTCGCGCCTGTGCTCTTGATTCACGTGCGAAGATCGTGACACATACTTCAAAGTCCTCCCCGTTATGTCTCTGGATCCTATGCGTGCCTTACGGGGTATTTGGTCTATGTTTGCCAGCTAGGTGTTCTTTTATGCGGACACAGAGGGGTCTGCCCGTTTCGCCAATGTATTCGTCACCACACGTCTTATAGGAGATCAGATGAACTATGCCAGAGCTCATGCAATCACCGTTCCTACCACTGGGGCAAATTATGCAATTTTGAGTTGCACATGGACGGTTATATAGGCGGTTACGAACTAACAGGCCCCTAAGAGTTCTCGGCGGCATTGAGATTACTCGGTGGTATTTCAACTACGCTTACCGAATTCTCTAAACCTGCCCCTTCTTAAGCAGCGTTTTATAGCTGTACTTATATCATTTGAGATGAAGGGTAGGATAAACGGGACCCTTCTATCGCAAGAGTTGTCGTTTGGAGGCCTAGGATTTCCTCTACACCTATCCTGAGCTACAGTTTCGTAGCCTTTAGAAATGGCTTTTTGCCGTGCCAAGTTCCGGGACTCCTCTCTCTGCTCTCTTCCCGTGCACACGTTGGTTGCTGTTCGAAACATGTTTCTTACAACCGCCCTTTTCGTGTGAGAGTCGTGAGAGGAGAGGTAATGAACCAAGATGTTTTTAGTACTTGGCTTTCGATACCACTTTGTAATGTAGCCATTTTCTGATAGGTGAATTTGTACGTTCAAAAATGGAAGCCATTTTTCTTTTGGTTTTTCTCGAGTGAATTTGAAATACTCTGACTGTGCGTTTAACAATTCGAAACATTTGTCCATTTCCTCTTGCGTTGAGCAAAGGACGAAGCAGTCGTCTACATACCTACAGTAGAGTAGCGGCCACATTTCTGTTGGGAGGGGCGCATTATGCTTCCATGTTATTTCTGTGCGGTTGGTCTCTACGTGACATACTTAGTGGAAACCTCATAGGAAGCGGTGAGTGTGCACAGCTGTGTTCAGTGTGATTGAAATCTTGGTTTAGAGTTTCTTTGTTTGGTTATGGAGGCGTCTGGCCGAGTAGATTGCTATCAAATTGACCTTTCCAAGCTCTGAGGAAGGCGAAATCCGCCGAAACGTCAGCTTATTCGTGAATAAAGAATAATAACACCTCGCGTTTGCCCAACAAAAATACGAGGAATTACTTGATCAATGCCGAGGTTAATGGAAAGTCGGTCGTGGGAGTTACTTTGAAGATTAGTTCAGAAGTTTATACGTAGGTGGATTTTCTAAACTACTGCTTCGCTGTTTTCCAGTTTATCTAATACCGACTGCTGTAGGATCGTTTGTCTGGAGAACAAATTGTTACAAATTGAGAATCAGTTAACAACCCACCTGCATAAGAGGGCATTACGAAGTAATGGCACTTCATTTGGGAGCTGCTACTATTCCACCGGATTCAGTTCGATGCGACTACGAAAATCTACATCGCTTGAATGAGCGGCGTGCACAATGGACTCGGATCATTCCAACTTTGAGGAAGACGAAGGAGCCGAAATGTTAACCGAGTAAAAGTTCCTTAATAACCTCATGTTAGCCCATCAGTGAGAAGAAGGTACCATTGAAGACTGTGACAACATTTTAAGGAAGATTCGAATTATCGACGAGGAAAGCACATTCCCCACATTTTCTCATTCTGATCTTTTCAATGCGATACGAAAACTATGAAATGGAGGTGACAGTACAACATGCACAGCAGGATACAGGACGGGGAAGTACATTTCCTCGCGTCTCTTAGACGTATGTTTGCTTTCTGACAGTATGCCACACATAATCACGGTTTCAAGTTTTCAGTAGGAATTAAATCTAACAGTGCAAAGAGATATGGTCCCAGGCTATTCAAGTTGTGTTCAAGGAGTAGCTTGAAAATATGGAAACGTATCATTGTAGCGATGGTTGGTCTGCTAGTCTTCTATTGACTTACCCTACCTAACAATGGGTAATGACCCATCTTATCGGCAGCTCTAAGTAAAACAAGAATTTTTCCAAGTAATTCCCAACCAGGTCATTCAGTAGAATCCGAACAGAGAGTGGTAGAGAGCACAATAGAATCTAAGTGATATGGTGATGTTGAAATGCAAAGTTAGACGAGAAGTGGACATTGTTATAACTTCAGTTCACCCATTCTTTCCATCAAGATCATAGGTTATTGAACGCCACCACCACGAGAGGTTTTATGTGGAAAAAATTGGATAGATTGCCGTACTGCGCGCTTCCTGGCCATTGAAATGTGAATGGTGAACGTATGGAAGATCTACAGTGGCTATGTGTGGAAGCTTACGCTTAAGAAGATCAGGATGGGCTTCTGCTTGTGTTACGTTGAAAACAATTGTACTTCCACGCCGCACGCCATTTAATCTCGTTTTCTTCAAGAAATCTGTGAGTTGAAGATATGAAAGCGATATTAGAAGATAGACCTAACCTGAAATAAGATCAGTATTGGAAAGCTATCGATAAGGTCGTAAAAAATGTGACGCATGTTCAATGGAAAAGTAAAGCACTGAAAAAGAAGTACATTGGGTTAGTTGCACCTTGGTCACCTTGGTTCGATCAGTTGTGC